CAACAGTCGACTTACTCCAAGCTTGAACCACACATTGACATTTTCGTGGAAAAATGACAAGGTTTCGGTCCTTCAAAAGGTTATACGGTAATAATTGCATAGTGACAGGATCATAATTCAAATGACGGGTCAAAGTTCCTTAAGTTAATCAGGGCAAAGTGCTAAGCCAGTATGGCTACATAGCACTATGAAAGGTATTTGAGGGCAAGCACTTGGGATATGGGGGAACGGTGCTGGGATATGAGGATAAGGAGCTGGGATATGAGGACAAGGAGCTGGGATATGAGGACAAGGAGCTTGAATCAAAGTTGCTTAAGAATACAGGTTACGGGAACACATTGTGACCACGTACCTGTAGGCGGAGAGGAGACGCTCCAGGGGATGCCTCACAATCATCATCTTGAGCGAGGTCTTCAAGAGGTCTTCCCTGGCCGCTGGGTCCTCAGGCTGGGTGTAGATCTGTCTGGCGCGCTGATGGAGACCAGAGGACACCCTTTGTTCTCCAGCCAACAAGAGCAAGTTTTTCACCCAAGTAGTTGAGGCGGCCTGCAAGATCCCGCACACTCACCCAACTGACGTTCCTTTCCCTGACAAGTTCTTTAGTGTGTAGGAATATTTGTTTTTTTGTCACTGGCGGAGAGTGAAAGCCTTAGTGTCACTTGCCACTTATATTTATTATATTTGGCAGGTCAGACCACCGCCACATGCACGTCTATGCGTATATACGGCTTTACTAACGCAAATGTCCTAGCATGCAAGTAAATATATAAATAAAATCTCACTATAGTGTTGTACATGATACATTGGTGTCTGTATCGAGAATATTCTGTTTATGAAGCACTCCGAGTGAGAACGTCCTATATCCATGCCCGTGTAGTGTGTGTGTGTGTGTAGCAATAGGAGGCTACACACACACACACACACACACACATATATATATATATATATATATATATATATATATATATATATATATATATAAATATAGATATATAAAATATAGATATAGCCTTGTCCATATACATGAAGTATATGCCAGTGGACTTGGGGCCAGATTCACGAAGCAGTTACGCAAGCACTTACGAACCTGTACATATTTTCTCAATCTTTGGTGGCTTTGTTTACTATTATTAAGCAGTTAATGAGCTCCGAGGCACCAGGAGGCTGTTTATAACAGTTGATGGGCAAGTTTTCATGTTTGTAAACTGTTTAATAAATGTAACCAAAGCCGTCAAAATTGAGGAAAGATGTACACGTTCGTAAGTATTTGCGTAACTGCTTCGTGAATCTGGCCACAGGAGACAAATCTTAAGTATAAACAGTATATACACAGGCTTCCTGTCCCCAACAAGAGAAATGATCACTATTATTATTATTGTGACATTAAGCAGTGATGACCAGACCACACACTAGAAGGTGAAGGGACGACGACGTTTCGGTCCGTCCTGGACCATTCTCAAGTCGATCGACTTGAGAATGGTCCAGGACGGACCAAAACGTCGTCGTCCCTTCACCTTCTAGTGTGTGGTCTGGTCATCATACTTTAGCCACGTTATTGTAACTCATCGCTTACATTAAGCAGTTATTGTAAGGTACACAACCTGTCCTCTTGAAAAGAACGTCGCTTTTGGCCGTTTGTCCGTATGGCCGAATATGGACGTAATTTGAAAATAAAAAAAAAAAAGCTAAAAATAAATTTGGGATTTTTTTTCAACAACAGTAAGTTAAGGGGTCCTCTGATAGGTTAGGTGGGCAGGAAATTCTCATAAAGTTTGAACACGGTATGAAAAACGTTAATTGAAAGTTTCCTCTTCTAAGCTTGCCGAGTAAGCCGGACGACTCGAACAGAAAACGGGACAGAACGTCACTTTTGTGAGTCGATTTCATTTCAAATTACGTCTAAATTTGGCCATAGCGCGCATACCAGCCAAAAGTGACGTTATTTTTAAGAGGACGGGTTGAAGGTGTAGGATTTTGTGCGCGGTGGTGCGTACCTTGAAGACCGGGCACCAGACCATGCGGTACTTGGCGACGAAGAGCAGGTTGGTGTAGACGCGGTCGAGGACGGGGTTCAGGAGACCGTGCAGGGACCGGCACACCTCCCGCACCCGCCGACGCCGCCCCTCCAGCACGCCCCTCACGCGCGCTGTCGTCGCCTCCGTCTGGGTGGGAGAGGAAGCTTGAACCTACAAAAATAGCCTGTGACACCCCTACATAATTCACCTTTTGTATTACTGAATTAGCTGTTGATGTTGTTGTTGTAGATTCAGCTACTCAGAACATGAAGTTCCAAGTAGCACGGGCTATGGTGAGCCCGTAAGTGGAGCCTCCACTTACGGGCTGCACTGAATTACTCCACTGAATTAGCCTGCACTGCTCAACTTATTTACTCTCGCGTATTATACTGAATGATCATGTCCAGTGTAATCCTCCACTACACTGCACGTCTTGCATAGCCATCTGAGCCATGCCTCACTTAGGCCTATCATCTTCACACTTCACAGTAAGGAGGGAAGAGCGCCGCACTGTTCCTCACCCAGCGAGAGGGAGGAGTAGTGAGGGAGGAGCCGGGTGAGGAGCCAGGCTGTGCACCATACCAAGCAGCGAAGATGGTGGTACATGGGTAATGTTGGGCATTTCAAGTTAGTGCACGGTGGCGATGCTAGTAGCATAGGCTAGAAGTAATTGGTAGGTTGTAGTGATTGTTATAGTTGGATGGTGGTAGTGGTGAAACTTGGAGGGTTGAGATGGTTGCAGTGGTGGTGATGGGTGGAGGTATTGTAGGTTAAATCATAAGTTTGGCAGGTCCATAATGGTGGTGAGAGTTGTGGTGGTGGTAGTAGTGGTAGTGGTGGTGTGGAGAGTGTGAAGCCGTGATAATTGCAACACTGCTTGTCCCGTGGTGCAGGAGTCATCATCTGCATGCACTATGTGCAGGTGTGTCCAAGGCTAGTGTGTGTGTGTGTAATTGCCTAAATCTAGTTACAGGATGAGAGCTACGCTCGTGGTGTCCCGTCTTCCAAGCACTGGTTGATACCTGGTTGGTTGATGGGGTTCTGGGAGTTCTTCTACTCCCCAAGCCCGGCCTCAGGCCAGGCTTGACTTGTGAGAGTTTGGTCCACTAGGCTGTTGCTTGGAGCGGCCCGCAGGCCCACATACCCGCCACAGCCCGGTTGGTCCGGCACTCCTTGGAGGAATAAATCTAGTTTCCTCTTGAAGATGTCCCCGCCACAGCCCGGTTGGTCCGGCACTCCTTGGAGGAATAAATCTAGTTTCCTCTTGAAGATGTCCACGGTTGTTCCGGCACTCTTTGTCATATAACGCTTTGTGTGTGTGTGTGTGTGTGTGTGTGTGTGTGTGTGTGTGTGTGTGTGTGTGTGTGTGTGAAGATACCAGCATATCTCTTATTATATGTTTTATCCATTGTATTCACTTATCTGCACTAGCGGGGGTTGTGCTGCAGCTCTTGGATCCCGCCTCGCAAACTTTACTAAATATGTGCATAGACTAACAAATCTGTTGGACTTTTGTCGTATATGCATTTGATGTTTCGAGGCCGCCTCACTTCACATAATAGTTTACTCAATTTATTTACCGTTTTTCTCCAAGAAAGTCTTTCTAGTTTCCGTGTGCCTCATTCAAGTATAAAGTTTCCACTGGTGTCATCTTGTTCAGGTACACCCATGGCAAATTATGTCGTTATTTATCCGGTCAACTACTTCCCTGAGTATTTTGTATGTCGTAATCATGTCTCCGCTGTTTAGTCTTCCGGTGATATTAGGTTTGGTTACTTTAGGCTTGGCTGGGAGTGGTTTGCCTCCCTGTGGCGCCTTGTGTCGGCTCTCCCCACAACACTCACCTCTAGTATATTTACTAAAGATTTCTAGCAGCCACCTGTAAGACCTTCCTTGTAGTGAGGATAATTGTGTATCTTTCCGCAGTCTTACCCTAAGAGACACGTGACCTCACCACAACGGCATGTTTCTGACGTTCTTACAGCGTGGTACAAGTGTCTTCCGGCATACCTTAACCCTCAACATTTCCGCTTCTGAAGAAGCGGAAACTGATAGGAAGGAGTGGGAGAGCATTCATGTTTATCACGAATGAGAAGACACGTGACCCCACCCCTCCCTGTGGGACAACGAAGGGTCTCAGAAGTGACCCCCTGTGGGACCACGATGGGTCTCGGAAGTGACCCCTGTGGGACCACGAAGGGGGTCTCAAAAGTGACCCTTTGGATTACCATGGCCACAAGGTAATGCTAATGTTAATGCAAGACAATACTTGCACAGTGTGGCCGCTGGGCACCGCTTTATATATAAGAGTTAGAGGACTGGGAGCCGTCGTCTCAGCTCGAGGACGACTTGGCTACCTGTATATCTGGCCGTGGGGTCGTGCAGGAATGTGGATGACCTCAAGTGTAAGGTGTATACTCACACACACACACACACTGAGGCATTATACAGCTTACACTGGATAGAAATGAGCACATTTACACACACACAACTAAACTTGTTTTGCATAAAATGTTACTCTATTGTAAATGACATTATATGAAATAATTGCGCTGTATCCATATTTCGCTTCTAGTAGTATTTGTATGTTCATGTATGTATTTATCTCTGTATTTGTATGCGCCTTGTTTGTATTTGTTACCGACCGAGTGTATTTGTATGCAAGGGCAGTGTGCGTGTATGAAGGAGACAAATGATGCATCACTCAAACACGATTCATCAAGACGTTTACACGCTGCCCCCTTGACGCCCAACACAGCCAGCAGCAGCAGCAGCAGCAGCAGCAGCTTGACGTATGGGCGTCCGGGACCTGGTTGCGCCGCACCCCTCACCGCACTCAGACGTGTTCTGAATGACCAGCTCGCGGGGCGGCCAGTCGTAATGACACGTGTTTCTACGGAATTCCACGGTGCGATTTCCTCCACGAACAAGAACAAATAGAAACGTTATGTGGCTACCGGAAAGTACCTGTAACTATAGCGTCCGGGTGTTACTATAAGTGTTGACGTCGGCCGTTACTAGCAGGTCCTGTGGTATTACAGGCGCCGGGGGACCGCCCCGTCGATGTGAGCTGCGTGTTCGGGTCATTCTTATTCCATCTCACCCGCTCGCTCACAATCCGTTATAGTAATTTTGTTTCTGCTTTTCCTCGGTAGAGTTGGTAGGGAATTAGAGATGACTTGGGCTTACTCCGCCGCACCCATGAAGTAACGGGTTCATTTCCTGAACCTATTATGATGTATGTATTCTCTACCACTTCCGCCTACAGCATGGGTATGAGGTTCAATCCTGCCCACGACATGGGTAGTGGGTCCACTACCACACACAGGATGGGCTTGGGGTCCACTACCACACACAGGATGGGCTTGGGGTCCACTACCACACACACAGGATGGGCTTGGGGTCCACTACCACACACAGGATGGGCTTGGGGTCCACTACCACACACACAGGATGGGCTTGGGGTCCACTACCACACACAGGATGGGTATAGGGTCCACTACCACACACAGGATGGGTATAGGGTCCACTACCACACACAGGATGGGTATAGGGTCCACTACCACACACAGGATGGGCTTAGGGTCCACTACCACACACAGGATGGGCTTAGGGTCCACTACCACACACAGGATGAGCATAGAGTGTATAACAAATGAAGAGAATGAAACAATCAAACACCCAGCATTCGAAACAATCGGTGGGTATGTGTAGAGAGCAGTGTTCCCCGCGTGCTTGCTTGCTTGCTTGCTTGCTTGCTTGCTTGTAACGGCAGGAGGAGGTAGTGAACCTCTCCCTCCCAACCCCCCTCCTTCTCTTCGGTCACCACGGGTCGCGGCTTTCCGCTTGAGAGAGAAACCGGTCACTGCTCTTGCCCAGACAACTTGCTAAGTTCACCACCACATTCACACTACTGTCCACTCCGCGGCCGCCTTGTTGCCGCTCCGGCCAGTGGACGTGATGTGTCCTATCCTCTGAGCGAGGGAGAGATGACCCGATGATGGGTAGTCCTCCCTTCCACTCCCAGAGTGGGGGGGGGTGAAGGGTAGTATACTGAGGGGGATAGACGAGGTAGCCAAGGACAGCTACTGTTGCCGGGGTTGGTGTGGTGGGAGGAGGTACTGTTACCAGGGTTGGTGTGGTGGGAGCAGGTACTGTTGCCGGGGTTGGTGTGGTGGGAGGAGGTACTGTTGCCGGGGGTGGTGTGGTGGGAGGAGGTACTGTTGCCAGGGTTGGTGTGGTGGGAGGAGGTACTGTTGCCGGGGTTGGTGTGGTGGGAGGAGGTACTGTTGCCAGGGTTGGCGTGGTGGGAGGAGGTACTGTTGCCAGGGTTGGCGTGGTGGGAGGAGGTACTGTTGCCGGGGTTGGTGTGGTGGGAGCAGGTACTGTTGCCGGGGTTGGTGTGGTGGGAGCAGGTACTGTTGCCGGGGTTGGTGTGGTGGGAGCAGGTACTGTTGCCAGGGGTGGTGTAGTGGGAGCATGTACTGTTGCCGGGGGTGGTGTGGTGGGAGGAGGTACTGTTGCCGGGGTTGGTGTGGTGGGAGCAGGTACTGTTGCCGGGGTTGGTGTGGTGGGAGCAGGTACTGTTGCCAGGGGTGGTGTGGTGGGAGCAGGTACTGTTGCCGGGGGTGATGTGGTGGGAGCAGGTACTGTTGCCGGGGGTGATGTGGTGGGAGCAGGTACTGTTGCCGGGGTTGGTGTGGTGGGAGGAGGTACTGTTGCCGGGGTTGGTGTGGTGGGAGGAGATACTGTTGCCGGGGGTGGTGTGGTGGGAGCAGGTACTGTTGCCGGGGTTGGTGTGGTGGGAGCAGGTACTGTTGCCGGGGGTGGTGTGGTGGGAGCAGGTACTGTTGCCGGGGTTGGTGTGGTGGGAGCAGGTACTGTTGCCGGGGGTGGTGTGGTGGGAGCAGGTACTGTTGCCGGGGGTGGTGTGGTGGGAGCAGGTACTGTTGCCGGGGTTGGTGTGGTGGGAGCAGGTACTGTTGCCGGGGGTGGTGTGGTGGGAGCAGGTACTGTTGCCGGGGGTGGTGTGGTGGGAGCAGGTACTGTTGCCGGGGGTGATGTGGTGGGAGCAGGTACTGTTGCCGGGGGTAGTGTGGTGGGAGGAGGTATTGTTGCCAGGGTTGGCGTGGTGGGAGCAGGTACTGTTGCCAGGGGTGGCGTGGTGGGGGGAGGTACTGTTTCCGGGGGTGGTGTGGTGGGGGGGAGGTACTGTTGCCAGGGGTGGCGTGGTGGGAGGAGGTACTGTTGCCAGGGGTGGTGTGGTGGGAGCAGGTACTGTTGCCAGGGGTGGTGTGGTGGGAGCAGGTACTGTTGCCAGGGTTGGTGTGGTGGGAGCAGGTACTGTTGCCAGGGGTGGTGTGGTGGGAGCAGATACTGTTGCCGGGGGTGGTGTGGTGGGAGCAGGTACTGTTGCCGGGGTTGGTGTGGTGGGAGCAGGTACTGTTGCCGGGGGTGGTGTGGTGGGAGCAGATACTGTTGCCAGGGTTGGTGTGGTGGGAGCAGATACTGTTGCCAGGGGTGGTGTGATGGGAGCAGGTACTGTTGCCGGGGTTGGTTTGGTGGGAGCAGGTACTGTTGCCAGGGGTGGTGTGGTGGGAGCAGGTACTGTTGCCGGGGGTGGTGTGATGGGAGCAGATACTGTTGCCGGGGGTGGTGTGGTGAGAGCAGATACTGTTGCCAGTGTTACATATATACTTACCTGTCTGTATGTCAGTATACATTTAGGCATACATACCTGTGTGGCTGTATATATGTGTATGTGTGCATGTTCACCCGCCTTCCTCTGTTTTCATGCTGCCACGCTGTGAGTTTTATTTTATTGTTGGGTGAACCATATGATAGACGACTGGTGTTGGGGCACTGCTGGAGTATAGTTCAAGGCTGAAGTGAAGATATGATCAAGGTCAGTCTTGGAAGGAACTGAAAATAAGGGCAACTTTCTCCGTAGTTAGCGAGCACTCGCAAGTCATTCAGGTCGTCTGGTAGCTGTGGGTGTGTGTGTGTGTGTGTGTGTGTGTGTGTGTGTGTGTGTGTGTGTGTGTGTGTGTGTGTGTGTGTGTGTGTTGGGGAAGCATAAGCTGGTTTCGTGTCAAACAAAAGTTGGAGCAGGAGCATCCAGCCTACCCAGTTGGAGCTAAGTTTGCGGACTTGATCATGCTGGTATTGTTTGGGAAACTTGACGTCCTCCCGCTGGGGTACGAGGCCGTCGCCTGGGATCCAGGTGGCGGCGATGTCCTCCCTCTCACCACTGTCGTCAACAATGGCCGCGGCCTCAGGGTAGGAGACCCAGTGTGTGGACGAGTTAACGTGACCATCACTAACGTTGCCGACTCTCGCCGCCGAGCTCTGGTTGGCGAGCCCCCGCACCCACTGGCTGACAGTGGGCAGGTTGAGGTGTAGGTGGTGGTGGACCTGCACCGAGGCCAGCTGCACCACCACCATCACGGTCAAGCAGGACACGAGGCCAACTGTAACCTTCCTGGCGGCTCTACGGCTCGGTAACAGTACACATCCCTGCTGCAAGGAGCACATCCTTGTGTAGTGTAGGCTCTTGGTCACTCGCAGCGCACACCTCTTGATTTACATCCGGGTAAATAACAAAAATATATGTCGAATATGTAATACACTCAGGCTTCCTGTCCCCCGATACTAAGTCACAGGGTGATGCCCGGGCCAGCGGGAGAGACGGAGAGCGGCGCGCGCACCCACGCCGGCCGCCGCAGCTACACTGACTCTATGGATGTGGTTTGGTCTACCAGGCAGACCCCGTTAAATTACCGTGATCGGTTACCACTGGTGGCGTTACTGTGTGATCTGTCACCACTGGTGGCGTTACTGTGTGATCTGTTACCACTGGTGGCGTTACTGTGTGATCTGTTACCACTGGTGGCGTTACTGTGTGATCTGTTACCACTGGTGGCGTTACTGTGTGATCAGTCACCACTGGTGACGTTACTGTGTGATCAGTTACCACTGGTGACGTTACTGTGTGATCTGTTACCACTGGTGGCGTTACTGTGTGAAGAGTCACCACTGGTGGCGTTACTGTGTGATCAGTCACCACTGGTGGCGTTACTGTGTGATCAGTCACCACTGGTTATGGTTGTGTGTGTATTCACCTAGTTGTGCTTGCGGGGGTTGAGCTCTACTCTTTCGGCCCGCCTCTCAATCGTCAATCAACTGTTACTACCATTCCCCCCCCCCGGAAGCAGCCCGTGACAACTGACTAACTCCCAGGTACCTATTTACTGCTAGGTAACAAGAGCATTAGGGTGAAAGAAACTCTGCCCATTGTTTCTCGCCGGCGCCCGGAATTGAACCCAGGACCACAGGATCACGCGTCCAGCGTACTGTCCACTCAGCCACCGGCCCGTGGTGTGTGTGTGTGTGTGTGTGTGTGTGTGTGTGTGTGTGTGTGTGTGTGTGTGTGTGTGTGCGTGCGCGCGCGCGCGTGTTTGAGAGAGAGAGAGGACGATGTCTTACACAAGTCAGGAACCAACTTCCGTGTTGCAGTTTTTTCCAGATTTGTTGCCCAGTCTGTTTACACATTTCATGTAAGACCAAACATGCACAGCAACACCCCATCATATAACAAAGAACATCACAACACAAACATTTGATTATACATGTTAATCAAACGCTAAACAGAACACGGGAAAATTACTGGAGAATAGTTTTCTCCCGCTAATTTGAAGAACAAATGGCGGTGACCTGCCAACGAGCGCTCTGGTCTCATGCTCACCTGTAATCTAAGCTACGACCTGTACCGTGGGTATCCTACCCGGTGGGTATCCTACCCGGTGGGTATCCTACCCGGTGGGTATCCTACCCGGTGGGTATCCTACCCGGTGGGTATCCTACCCGGTGGGTATCCTACCCTGTGGGTATCCTACCCTGCGGGTATCCTACCCTGTGGGTATCCTACCCTGTGGGTATCCTACCCTGTGGGCAGTCTCAGGTATGTTCCTGAGACTGTTGGTAATATTGTGCTGTCTGGGGGAGGATATCCCCCAAGGATTACCGTAACACCTAGGAGTGTGTGTTTACATAAACCTTTATAAGTAACACAAGTCAATTTTGATTAGTAAGCACATGCCACTTTTGTCTGTAAACGGCTAGACCATTGAAATGGTAAACATATGAACCTAACATTCTATCCCTCTCTCTCCTAATATTAAATATTGGCAAAACATTATGAAATCATTAATTTACTTCAAGTAAATATAGACCTACCTTGAGGTTACCTTGAGGTTACCTTGAGGTTACCTTGAGGTGCTTCCGGGGCTTAGCGTCCCCGCGGCCCGGTCGTCGACCAGGCCTCCTGGCATCATACCACAACATAGAAGATAAATAGTTATCTACAGAGATAATATGAAATCAATTTTCACACAGTAATAGGTCTTGCAAAATTTGGACTCTAGCTCTTAATATTATTCAAAACGACAATTGCATGTAATGCAAATAGTGGCTTAGTGGACGCTCCAGCTGTGTAAAGCTGTGTAACCCCAAGACGTCTTCCAGCACCACCTTCCTTCCGCCATCTTCCTCAAGTGTCTTCAGGCGTGTGTCCCCCCTCCCACACCTCCACACCTCCATCACCCCCCCCCCCCCCCCCCCCCCCAAAATATTAGATACAACTCCATTTAAACTCGCTGCAGATTCAATGTATTAATACTCTTGTAGATACATATATTACCTTAATACTCTTGTAGATACATACATTACCTTAATACTCTTGTAGATACATACATTACCTTAATACTCTTTTAAATAAATACACTTCGTTATTACTCTTCTGGATAAATACGTTGTTGTTGTTGTTGTTGTTGTATTCAGCTACTGGGAACCAAAAGTTGCAAGTAGCACGGGCTATGGTGAGCCCGTAGTGGACTTACCTGGCACAGGAGCGGGGCTGTAACTCTGTAGATAAATATACTGTGTTAATACTCGTCTAGATAAATATACTGTGTTAATGCTATTCTAGATAAATATACTGTGTTAATGCTATTCTAGATAAAACACTGCGTTACTTACTATTCTAGATACAAACACTGCGTTAATACAATGTTTACAAACAACCTACCTGTTACAAGAGACTAGGGTGGGCAGGTGTGTGGCGCTTGCGCTGTGCCAGTAGCCAGGTACTCCCTGCTCCCTCACGCCTCTCACCACACACACACATGAACCAAAATCAATTTATCTTGACTCACAATATATAATAGAGAGGATCACTGAGTCAAGAGAGAGAGAGAGAGATACCTCGCTTCATGTTGTATATACGCTCAAAGTGTATTTGAGTCTTGGGTAATGTTTTGGCCTACATTATAATTAGCAGGTAAGTCAGCAGGTGTGCATGGCATTAATAACCCTCCAGAGGTTGATGGGTCTTCAGCCCAACACTAAACCAGTCACCAAGTTCAGAGTTGACTTCTTCAGTGTTTACGTGTCGAAGGAAAGTTTTATGTTGAGCATAAATATACTGACGGTCTCGCTTCATGCAGGTTGGCGTTCAATCCTCGACCGTCCAAGTTTGTTGGGCACCATTCCTCTTCCCCCGTCCTATCCCAAATCCTTATCCTGACCCCTTCCCAGTGCTATATAGTAGTAATGGCTTGGTGCTTTCCCCTGATAATTCCCTCCCTCCTTCCCTAATTACAGATGAATAATTGGACGCCCTTGCCTGCCTCAATGTCCACGCTTCCCCATAGTGTTAAGTAAGCACTTGAGGGTCACCTGGGCACAGATGCTTAACTATTCCGACCTGTTCGTCCAGCAGCAATTGGAGGAACTGGTTGTAAAGGGACAGGCGGTTATGTTCCAGGGGAAACTAGTAAGATAAGGCTGAGGATGAGCTGTGGGAAAGACAGGCACTAAACCTGTTAACACAAGCGGGAGTGGTCGGGTGTACCGTCGCCGGCACTAACAACAACAGTCTGGTGTGAACACTGTTGCTAAATCTGTCATCTACAAGCTTTGTTTACTCATCACTGAGGTTATCACTGAGAGTTTGTGTTCACTCAAGGGTGAGGTCTGCCTCGTGTTATACTAATCTTGGCTATTCTTGTCCTTCAATCTGGACTAGTCGTTACAGGAAAGGTCAGGGGCTGTGTTGGGTCGCTGATGGCTCATGTGGTTGGCCTGCCATCTTTCTCGCCATCATCATACCTGAGATCCTTGTCTTAAAGTCCCACACAAGCCATATAGTCATACTGGCTTAGCGCTCTCTCCTGATAATTACCTCATGTTGCCCACAACCATTCAGCTGCACGTGGAGGTCCGCTGGTTCACAGCCATGTACCAAACACGCCATAGTAATTACCGTCAAATTAATGGATATTTAACAAAAATGTTAAGCTACAGATACATGTCATCGAGGACCTCTTGGTTCTTGACCCAGTGAGCTGTCAACCCACAGAAACTCACGACTGGAGTTACAACAAATATTGCAGTAGTTGTTGTTGTTGTGGGAGGTTGTGGTTCAGACCTGAGTGTTGTGTGACCTTGGTTGTGGGCGGGAAGGTCTCCCTGACCTCTTCCCCAGGCATAATGTTTACTTCTCATGACTGCAACTTTCATTTTGTCCTCTCATGCATTGCTAATGGTCTAGATCATTGGCAAGTGTTCATGCAATGCATATTGGTGGTGATAGGATTGCAGGTTGCATTAATGTTGGCGGTGGCAGGAAGTGCATGGGACGCCAGTTGAAGAGCAGAGGTGCATTAGGTACGCTATGACACAATTCTGTCAACATTAAGTGTTCAAGACTAATGAACACTCTCCCTCTGATCCTGAGTGTTGGTCTCATGTCCAGGTGGTGTTGGTCACGATGGAGATAACTATATTTACGGTATCTGTGGTATATAATGGAATGTTTCAGGTGGGTGAAACTGGAAGACGAAGGTGGGCGTGGAGGTCTTGAGGGGAGGTGGTTGTGGGCGTGGCAGTGTTGAGAAGGGGTGGTGGTTGTGGGTGTGGCAGTGTTGAGAAGGGGTGGTGGTTGTGGGTGTGGCAGTGTTGAGAAAGGGAGGTGGTTGTGGGTGTGGCAGTGTTGAGAAGGGGTGGAGGTTGTGGGCGTGGCAGTGTTGAGAAGGGGAGGTGGTTGTGGGCGCGGCAGTGTTGAGAAGGGGTGGTGGTTGTGGGCGTGGCAGTGTTGAGAAGGGGAGGTGGTTGTGGGTGTGGCAGTGTTGAGAAGGGGTGGTGGTTGTGGGCGTGGCAGTGTTGAGAAGGGGAGGTGGTTGTGGGCGTGGCAGTGTTGAGAAGGGGAGGTGGTTGTGGGTGTGGCAGTGTTGAGAAGGGGTGGTGGTTGTGGGCGTGGCAGTGTTGAGAAGGGGAGGTGGTTGTGGGTGTGGCAGTGTTGAGAAGGGGTGGTGGTTGTGGGCGTGGCAGTGTTGAGAAGGGGAGGTGGTTGTGGGCGTGGCAGTGTTGAGAAGGGGAGGTGGTTGTGGGTGTGGCAGTGTTGAGAAGGGGAGGTGGTTGTGGGCGTGGCAGTGTTGAGAAGGGGAGGTGGTTGTGGGCGTGGCAGTGTTGAGAAGGGGAGGTGGTTGTGGGCGTGGCAGTGTTGAGAAGGGGTGGTGGTTGTGGGCGTGGCAGTGTTGAGAAGGGGTGGTGGTTGTGGGCGTGGCAGTGTTGAGGGTGGACGTTGTGGGTGGGATGAAACAGGAGTGAGGGTGGGTGGTGGGGTAGACTGGCCAGAGGGGTGCTACCTCTCCACCAA